ATATATATATGTATGTATGTATGTATGTATGTATATATGTATATATGTGTGTGTATACAAAATATCTCGTGTTACTAATCGTTTGCGATACCTTGATACGTTTGATGAACACTCGATGCAAAAAAATCATATAGCTTCTTGTCAAATAAGATATGTAATTGCATATTACAAACTGTATAATTTTTTTTTTTTAAAGCAACTATGTATTTTCTTTGTACCAGTCTTTAGTTTCTTTATTAAGGTGTGTACAGTTATAAAGGAATTATAATAATTATTTATGAGATATTTTATATCAGAATATGCTCATTTTTGTATCATTCTTGTTGACTTTTTAAATTGTTTAAAGATAATTTCGAAGAAATCATTTACAACTTAAAACTAATAAATCTTTTTCTGTGCTTTCATGGTACTGAAATATATAATGTTCTATGTAAAAAAATACAAGATAAAAAAACTTTGATATAATCTTAAAAAGATTAGAAAATGAAATTTTCTTTACATTATCAAATTTACGTAGGAAAGAAAGTATATTTACACTTTTTTTCCCCCGATTTAGCAGTTATTTCAAACAATTTATCTAGAGATCCTCCGTGTGTGCGTGTGTGCGTGCGTGTGCGTGCGTATGCGTGCATGCATGCGTGTGTGCGTGTATGTGTGTGCGCGCGCACGCATATACGTGTGTATATGTTAATTTATTTAATAGCTATGGAAATTGAAAAAGATATCGAGAGTGGAATTAATTAGCAGCGGTAGTATTTTCCCAAGAATACGATTTAAACCCGATAGCATCGATGCAGCAGAAATGAAAACTAGGGAATTTGATGCCGAAAGTATGCGTTATCTGAATTACTTATTATATCCATTAATTATCATTGGAGCAATCTACTCGTTACTTTATCAACCACATAAAAGGTAAATGACCACTTTTATCTAAAATGATAAAAATATATGTATGAAATATTTTGTATGCCCCATTAATTAAATTGTTTTGAGTTACAGTTGGTATTCTTGGAGCATAAATTCTTTAGTGAATGGAGTTTACGCATTTGGATTTCTTTTTATGTTGCCGCAATTATTCGTTAATTATAAATTGAAATCCGTGGCGCATCTACCTTGGAAAGCATTCATGTACAAAGCATTTAACACATTCATCGATGATGTGTTTGCTTTCATTATAACAATGCCGACTGCTCACAAAATAGCATGTTTCAGAGATGATGCCGTCTTTCTAATTTATCTGTATCAAAGATGGTAAGAGTTTTCTTTCATTCAATTCAAAATTTATATCGAGTACCACTGAACGTTGCGACTTATGTTGAACGACAAAGAGAGTAGGTCATAACGACATGGAGAAAATGATTTTGATCATTGATTCCCTTTGTCCTTTTCGACCGAATTGATTTGCCTCATAAATAATTAAATTCAATTTTTATAAATTTACGTTCAATTGCAAATATATACATTTAAAATTTGTGAGCAGACTTGCCAAACTGGATAACTCTTTCAAACGGTTCTTTCTTTTAATAAATTCTACCTGATAAACGATCTTCAAAAATATGTTTTTTTGTCTCTTTTGGCTTTTCTTTTACCTTTGTGAAACATGGAAACTGCTATGTCATGCAGTCTTGAAAGGATCTAAACCAGTCTTATTCGAAAATTTGTCAATCTGCATCACTACCTGCTACTTGTTCAATGGTATTCGGTAGTTTTGTGCAAAGCATGTCATTCTATTTGGAGCGTTCATCGCGACTGTTACGTATGTATCGATCATTATTTTAGAATATAAAAAAAAAACATTTATCACAGGTTATATCCAGTGGATAAATCACGCGTGGATACTGATACAATCACAGAAGAACATGTTGATTTCAGCAATATGCACAAAAAAACAAATTAATTTCTATTGTTTACTGTTATTGCTTGTCTTCATTATCTAGAACTTACAACTTTCATAATATCATGTTGAAGTATTACTACATGCTGACAAACAGTATTTATATTAATAATGTAAAAATTTAATCAATATACGCACACAATTGTTACAAAAAAGTATATTTTATAAATTTCTTTTATTATTACCTAAAGTGCATTGTTACAATTTTTAAATTTTTGTCTTTCTTTTATAAATGATTTCTGACGAATCTAACGGATCTTGCAAATGATATATTATCGATGTGATGATATTATCTATAATGTTCTCGACGCGATGCGTTCAATGACCAGCGTGACAAAGGACTCGTAGAAGAAAATTGCATAACAACATTGAACACATCAGGAAAAAGAACAGCACATTCCTTCTTCGGACACTCATTTAGGTGTTATATGACATCAGGTTACTTTTAGGTATGATTATATTTGTTATGTGAGAAAATATTGTGACTGTGTTGGCCGATAACGGAGGACCTTGAATTATTTGAATCGATTCTAACGCGATAACACGTCAGTCGTTCGATATCTACTGATATATAATAGGAGAGAAACAGACCGAGAAGTCTACTTTGATGATGTTCACGTGCATGTGTACGTATGCGCGCGCGTGTATGTGTGTGCGTGCGTGTATGTATGCGCGCGCGCGCGCGCGCGCGTATGTGTGTGTGTGTGTGTGTGTGTGTGTATGTTTGTGTGTGTAAATATACTTATGAATATGTGTATATATATATTCTTTACAGCGTAAGCGGAAATTATTGCAAACTGCAATATCTGTGCCACGTTACAAGATAAATAACGACACGCATTATGTGCGCCATACAAATTATATGGATTTATCTCCGATTCATGAATAAGCAAGTCTCATATTACCTGGGTTTAGGTAAGACGATCCAACAAATAAGTTACATAATTCTATTTTTCTTTGTGTGTCAAGTCAGGATAATACTAAGCTAAGTTTGTTATTTTTGAGATGATGCAGCAATAATCGATTTAAAGTCGTTTACTTTAAAACATATTTTTGTAGATGTACCGTTTGTTCTAAAGCGTTGGTGGGCTTTATGGTGCATCTTGAAAAAGGAGAAAACAAGAAGAAGTAAACTCAAGGACAGCGATGTAATGTTAAATATAAAGAAGATCTTGGAACCATGCTCGGATAATTCAAAAATTATTATGAACGAGAATGTAAGTAGTATGTAATATTTGCGGTAGATTAATTGTAAAAAAATTAATTTCTTAACTCATTTATGACATAGAGTTGTGACAGTGTATCTTTCTATGGTGCTGATCAAAAAGGTAATTCGTTATTTGTTAAAATGACTCACAGAGGATATCACAAAACAGAATTGATCTTGCAAGTGACCTTATCGGATGGCCGAGTCTACGTGTTGCCCGGTAAAAATCATTTGATACAAAAATATCACATAAATGTTACGGTAAATATAACGTTCTAATGATACACTCGTTTTAAATACACAGATTGTCCTGATACAATTACAGTAGGAGATATAAGCCAAAAATGGTCAGCATCTGGTCTAAAGATTGAATCCTTAGAACCACGACAACGTTGGAGAATTACATACAATGGTTTCCTCCGAAACCAATGCCGAGGAAATACATCCAATAATGACAACGTGGAACATATTCATCTAAATTTTATGTGAGTACAGAATAAATAAATTTGTTAGGCACTAAAAAGTATTAAGAAGCATAATCGGTCAAACATCTTATTTTACAAATCCGTTCCGTTTTTCAGATTTATTGGCAAACCCCGACCGTTAGAATGGCCAGGTGATTGGAGTACCTATTTGCACGCGGATGCTTTAGCACGTGAACCGTGGAAAAATTCTGATTCGATGCACAAAATGTAAAACATTTTTACAACAACATTAATATATTTGATGTTTTATGTTTACATGTTTTCTCTTATTTCTTCTCTTATATAATATATTATAGGTTTAAGCTTCCTTTTCTGTTGATAGTCAATTAATAGATGACACCGGTTTCGATTTATGGGGATCCATTATCGGACAGATAACGTTTAAAGATTCAAATACAAGTGAATTTTATTTACGAGGACTCTGCCAGCGACGTTGGGGTAAACATGAATCTTATCAATTTCATAAAACTATCACAATTGTTGGTGTGACACAACATGGAGCTATGTATTATTTTGGTGTGAGCAATACCAAACATAGCTTTTCACAGTAAGACAAACATATTACAACATTATGATAAAATAGTTTGATATAAAATTTCCTATATGAAGAAATCAATCAACTAATTTTACATATCCTTATTTTATTCTATTATTATATTATCATTGTTTTTGTCTCCTTGTTGAAATATTACGATTATATCACATAGAAAATTTTATACAAGCAACGATTAATATTTTTTAATTATACATACTAACTTTAAAACAATGGAAAATATGTTAATCATTTGTGAAACGAAATTAATTGCAGCATGCAGTTTGGACACCTCCAGGAAGCCGGAGGAATGATAGCCAAAATTGATTGGATTGATCTGCAATTGAGCGACTTTGAGAAAGAAGATACATTTTCCAACTACAAGATTGTATTTACAGGTTTTTATTCATTATCGATACAAACATCATACACGCATTGCATTATGCAAGATTTTGAGGCACGATGCTGCATTAACATTACGCGCCACTGTTTTTCATTTTCCAGCAGCTGGAAAACAATACAGCTCCGTAATCAACAATTACTTGGTGGGCGACGCAATAACTTATTACAATGACCAACCATGGGCTTATACAACTCGTAATTTGCGTGTACAATTAAACGGCAGTACAGGTGTGTCGATGTAACAATTCATAATAGAAGAAATATCAAAAAATTGAAATCTTTTTATCTACAAATACAGTATTATAGGCTTGAATCTATTTTTAAAATGCACTAGGTGTTGGACTGATGATTACGTGCTGTTCATATACTGGACCGAGACAAATACAAACTTCGATCACGAAAATTCAACGTATAACACAGCCTGACACATTTGCACAAAAAAATAAATACATTCTACATTTTGATGATAAACAATGCCAAAATGAAAGTGTCGTAGGAGGGAAAGGATATTCTCTTGCAATTCTGACATCTATCGACACCGATGACGTGTGTACTTGAGATAATTGTTACTCGTCAAAAAATTCTTTATTTGTAAAATTAATTTTTCTGTAGTTTGCAGTACCTCCAGGCTTTTGCGTAACGAGTCTCGCTTTGGAACGACAATTGCAACATCATAAACAATTGCAAAACTTAGTCAATGATATAATAGATATTAGTTGTTGCAAAAAAAAAAAGGACCTCGAAAGTTGCTGTCAAAAGTACGTCTAACATTTCGCGTAAAATGTATGTGAGACTACAACTAAGCCTGTTCTCTGTTTTTTCAGGGCGGTATCTATTATTCAGGATACTCCTGTTGAAAAAGAAATTGCAGAAATGATATTACAGGGTTTGAAGGAATTAGAATCATTTGTAAATGAAAAAGGTGTTTGGCGTTATGCCATAAGATCCAGCGCAATTGGAGAAGATAGTGAAGAGACTTCAGCAGCTGGTCAAAACTCAACATATTTAGGTGTGAAGAATACGAGTGACGTTATTGAATGCGTTGCCAAGTGCTGGGCAAGCCTGTTCTCGTATCAAAGTGTCGAGTACAGGTAATTTATTTTTCTCTATAATGTTGCCTCGTTACATTGTCTTGAATTTGTACATGATGTTTCTTTTAATTCAGGCGACAAAACGGATTACCGATAAGAGCTTCTATGGGCGTTTGCATTCAAAGAATGGTCGACGCGGAAGCGGCTGGTGTCATGTTTACTAGACATCCGACAACTGGAGATCCGTCCAGCATTGTTATTACAGCCAATTATGGCTTAGGAGAGGTCATACTCAATTAATATTAGAAATGCTGTTACAAAAAATATTTGAACGAGTGATACGCACTTATATAAAATTGATTAATATTTAATATTTGTGATAATTATTGCACCAATACTCGTGATATTTGTTATGTAATATAAATAACATAAATTGCCCTAATGTAACTTTTTTTTTATAGACGATAGTGTCAGGGAAAGTCGAGCCTGATACTTTTATGATTCATAGAAAGTGGGATAACACTTTAACTATAGATTCCTCAGTGCTAGGAAATAAGGAGCACAAGATCTTACTTGATGACCGTAATGGCGTAATTACAAGCGCTCTAAGTGAACAGGAGATTAAAAAGATCTCAATATCCGATACATCCGCTCTACGATTAGCTAAAATAGGATTGCACTTGGAATCGCTTTTTGGATCAGCT